GCCGTGACGTTCTGGATCGTAGCTATCGACAAGCAGACTCCCTACCGTAGTGATTCGATTTCACCTGATCCCTTAAATTTATTTTCGACTTGGGACTTACCTTTACACGAAATGTCCTTCCTCCGACGGTGGCACTCACGCTTTCGACAATCACTTTCTGAACAGCCGTGGCGTTTTGGAACGCGGTAGACGCGGTCACGACAAAATCATGAGTGCCTGATGTGATCGTGTCTGCTGTTAAAATCACATTTCCCCATGTATCAACGTCGAACTTCTGATCGGTGATACTGTACTTGACGACGTGGCGGCCAGCCACAGCCTTTACTCGTCCAATTATCGAGCCAGGCAGTGATGTGGAAGAGATTCTGAAAAGTAGGAATGTTAAGGGAGAAAAGAAGTCAGCCAAGTCTTGGCTTCCCTGGATGAGATAAGATTTAGAAGCCTTATATACTGCAATTTTCTATGTGCAATGGTAATGGTTACGTTTCGTTTCCCCCTACTCTGGCATGCCATAATCGCAGACGGCTCTATCGCAAGATACGGGGGCATTGTGGTGGTAAAGCATTCAAAACTGTGCAAAACATCTCTTATTTGTCAACGGAACTAAGCTTTATTGTTAGACTAGACAGGGAAGAAGAGCGCCTATTTTGTCGGAGTTTCTTACCCTCCTGGGCTTAGTCTTGGAGCATGCCCCGTTCCTTGCGATAGCGCCTTTCAGAATTCGAGACACGGGGCGTTACATGACGGCAAGCAAGAGCACTGCGAAGTAGATGTGGTATTGATTTTTTCGAGACCACGCGTACTACAGAGCCTGTGACACGAAATTCTACGACATTCTTGATCGCAGGAGACAAAGTACACCTACTATTATTATTACTACTACTATTACTATTGTTCTATTATTATTACTGTATACTTCCTGAGCGCGATTGCAAACGTGGATCTACATAGGTTGCAATGCAGTCATGTGAAACTCGAACTCGTGTTCGAACGTTTCGCAACCGCACGCGCAGTTTTCGTGAACTGCGGCTGTTCTTGCTTGGAAAGATTGATCGGTGGTTTGAACATTACTTGAATGGTTCCATCCTATCAAACACTGGTGGCGCAGAATCGTCTGATGATGTCGTGACGATGAGGAGCGCGGTGGCCATCTGCCCATCCTCATCTATAGCGGCTACTGAGATATTGAAGCGGGAATCAGGACGTAGTCGTCCTTTTCGTGAGACTTTCCCCGATGTTTTATCGATCTGAAATATATACTGTAATGATATAGGTGGTAAGGGGAAAGGCGGTAGCCAAAGTAGACTGTGACGCGATTTTTTTGGGTGTTTTTTAAAAGGAATACAATATTTTTATGGTAAGTGCGTGCTTCGGAATGGAATCATTGGGTCAAATAATCATGCCCCACTCACTGTGCTCACAAATGCAGATAATTGAGAAGTGTTGTAGTAAATTTCTGCTGACCGATCTTTATCCCTGCCATTACGATGGCAATCGTGCGATTTTCCGACAAATTGTTCACGTTTATGGCCGCCGTATAGACGTCACGGTCAAACACTGGAGCATTGTCATTCACGCTGATGATGTTAGTCCGTAATCACGACAGTCGCATTACAAACGACTGCTCTCGAAGGTGATCCTGAAGATGTGTGCGTCATCAGAGATCGCTAAAGTTGGAAAAACTGGAGGGAGCGATCGAAGGATATAAGCCTCCTGAAGTCTGGGGCTCACTTTGAACGGGAGCGGTAATGCGGTGGTAAGGATTCGTGGCTGAACAGTATGGCTGAGGTGTTTAAACCTGATGCCATACTCTGCGATCCAGCGATTAGTGTCTGAAACAGTCTAAGAGCGCCCGTACTGACCGGGGCCTGGATACGGTAACTCCCAGCGTAACTGCCGAGCAGAGTCAACCGTGCGGTTGCACTATTCGAACGAGGGGGTCGCATTTGGTTGATTTTGCTAAGAGGGGGGTCGCATTCAGGGGTTGAGTGAGATTAGTAATGTTGGATGGATACTCGATGCGTTAAGATAAGATTGGTTTTGGCGGCTGGGTACTCCCTAGAGAAGCCGCCATTGCGGCGGGGGTGGTAGGCGGGAAGGGGGGGGGGTAGGGAGAAGAGGTGGTCGTATTAGGGGAGCCTCCTGAGTGTTTATGGTGGTGGGAGGGGTCGCATCGAGATCCCCTAAAGGAGGGAGATCGCAAAATGTATGAAAGAGTGCGAACGTTATGGTTGACCCTAGCGTGATGCTCGTTGTGGCGCCCGCTCGATGGCGCGCAGATAGATCTTCTGCGGATGCCCTGCTCTTGGATGACTTGTGCTATAACTTCGTATAGCATACATTATACGAAGTTATTCTTCGTCACTTCCGCATCGATACTGTTGCTGTTGTTATCTGGAAAATGGGTAAAATCAGAGTAGGCGGTCTGACGCAAAACTGCCCAAATCATTAACTTGGGCTGGGCCAAATTTATAGTTCAAATTTACAGATTTTGGAACTTTTAAAAATTTTACGCCCAGGTAGGATATCCAATTAAGCTTTGCTTTACCGATTGACTGATCCATGGCATGTTGCAAAGCGAGGCGTGACGCCTGTTTACGGCTTCATGGCTGTAACGCTTCTGGGACATTCTATTATCAGGAGGAATTTCTGGGGAAACAAACTTGTTCAATCAGAAATTCCTAGAGGTTTTTGAATTGAGAGTTCACAGTTCCGGATAATTCGATACAAATTAAGCATTCCAAAAAGTGCAAAATAGATGAAAATAGGCCTCCTTCCGTGACGTTCATTTCATAAACATTGTCAAAAGTTTCTTTTTTATCGAGAAAGTGGTTCGTTTCACTTTACTAAGCAGCTGTGCAATTCTTGCGCAGCCGGTGCGCGCGTTTGCGAAGCGGTTGACTCGTCTTAAATCATGATCCGTAACTATGTGCTATGGTAGATAAGACTGACTTGTCTATTCGCATAAATTTTCACGCTCTGTTCTCCCTACACCACCGGTATTCGGTGCAGGAACCAATAGAGTGACCGCTTCGCTTCCGCGCGCGAAACACGATATGGTAACGTTTACAACTAAATAGAATACCCCTTCCAGAACCGTTCCAATCCTGATCTAGGTTTTGATTGTCCAAGAGTCGATAGCCCATTACTCCATTCAATCCTCTGTCATCATCATATGCTTCCAAGTAGCCTATCGTTGTTCCGACACCGAGATTTTCTTCGATTACGAACTCGTTTCTTTGAGAACACTGAGGGCAGTGGTCGTTCACATCGTCTATGAAAACGTGGACCATTGTTGAATAGGTGTTGTTCAGATATCTGGAAATATAGCAGAGATTACGGTCATTAGGGAGAGCATAAATTGCGGACCAGCAGCCGCTTTTTTGGCGCCTAGAATACACAGTGTTCCCCTTCAGAGGGCACTGGACTTCAACATGCTGACGGCGAGCGGATTGCGGTCACGGTCTGCATTTGCTCGGATACATGATTTGCTATGTTTACTTGACTCAGTCTGCAGACATATCGAAGAAAGTCGTAAACAAGCCTAGATGTCCAAGGATGAAATAATCTGTTAATACGTGACTTGCTACGAGCACGCAGCGCAACCGCACGCGACCTGTGTCTCCGCCCTCTCTACGGGAACGTTGTTGGGTGTCTAGACGTCTCTGAATGAATATAGAGAAACTCACCGATGTCTTGCAGTCAGTGACAAGGAAATCATATCGGGACCTCCGCTATTGATCGCGGTTCTTCAATATACGGTGCATCCGGAAAGACACATCACCGGTGTCTTAGGCTTACTTTTGAACACCGCCGGATGGATAAACAGAATTGTTGCTACGTTTGCGAGTACGTAACAGTCGAGCCGTCCTTCTTTCAATTGGTGCACGTGGTAGGTGGCATTCAGATGAAATGGCTGAAATTTGATGCCGTGGTCATCATCAGCAGGCAGGCATCAGTGGCAGGCAAGGCAAAACGTACCGTATCATCGTCTTTCCATTGCGATCCTTATTTTCATACGATCACTTCTTCCTTTTGAGTCTTTCGCCTCAACATCGCATTGCACACTATCGATCGATTTATCGATCAGTTCTCTGACGGAGATGATTCCATCGCTGTCAACTCGCAACCATCGACAATTGGTAGAGAAGTTAAAATGTCCTCCAGCATCAACCTAAACGTGAAGCATAAATGAGCAGATAATCAATATCAATCGATACTCAATGCTCTCACCTTCATCAACTGATTGCCCAGCGGGATATTTCGCTTCAACTTCAATGTGGCACTTTTCTTCGTAAACATGGGCGCTGGAGAATCACGAATCACTCGCAATTCAACGCACTTGGTGATGGAAACCTCATCAGAATGGGCGATCAATACGGCGAAAAATCGATCGGTATTGATCGGAACTGGTTTGGCAAGATACAGACTGCCTATCGAATTGATCGATAACAATGGTGACGTCGATTCCAGAGTTGAAGGAGAGCTCTGAAAAAAATTGTTGTTTACTAGTGAGTGGCACATTTTTTCCGCAAGAAAAAGTGTTTCACGAGAATAGCCGCGCGCGGTTGCGTTGCGATCGTGTGCCAGGATGCACCCAAATCTCCCACTGTGCTACCATCATTCCCGCACACTTCTGGATTACGCAATACCGTAATAATATACATATTCTGCTGTTCTGGATACGTGGCCTTGTTATATGAGCTACCCTCTGCTTCCGAAAACCAGAAGAGCGTCGAGTGCAGACCATACACCACAAGTGACGACGGCCTCCACAAAATGTAATGTTTTCTGCCAATGAAATGATTAGCCTGTTGCAGTTGTTCTATCAGTTGTCACTAATTACAACTATCATTTACCAACTAATCAGCTATCACTATGAACACTAAACCAGATTTACTTGGAGGCCGTCGTCACTTGTGGTGTGTGGTCTGCACTCGACGCGCATCTGGTTTTCGGAAAAGGGTGGTCAATAAGAACATATTTTCCTGTAAACGGGGCACTCACCGGGTGGTAAACAGCCCAAGGGTGTCGCCAACCAAGTGGTCTCGGCAAATCAATCGGATGCGCGCGACCGCCTTGTCCATCTTCAAAGGCTCCTTATTCTTGTGTGGTAACAGCGTTAACTGCTAACATATTTCGTTGACATCGCACCATAGCCGTCAGTGGCTCCTATTCGTATCTGAAATCCTCGGCACTTTTTTGTTTGGTCTATAGGATAGCTAAATGTGCCCAAAATATCGCAGAGATAATTCCTACCGTATACTGCTTAGCTTCAAGCGCTTCAGTTGTCTGGATAACTCCGCTGGAGCTGTCGATTGAGAACCCCGTAATAGCGTCTAGCAGTGCGTAGTGGACTTGCCCGGCAGTGGACGAGTCGCGATCCTCAGCGAATACGGTAGTGACTACAGTCCCGGGGTCGAGTTCACGCGGTAATACCACGCTGCACCATCTACGGAGCAGGCGAATTTCGTGGCACATTGTCATTGGACTGTCCTGCAAGAGGACTATAGAATTTGCTTTACTTCTACGGCGATATTTTTTACAAGTATTACCGTACCTCGATTACAGCCGGCAAAATAGTAGCGATGCACAGTTCAGGATGGCCGTGATCGCACACTTCTATTTCCACGTCAAAACCTTTGATCGTCTCGAAGTCCACGGCTTTTCTCAATATGATCTTGCCGGATTTTGAATCGATCGATAAGTATTCAGTGGCCTGCCCGCTCAATAGTCGATACAGCAAACGAGCGTTGTCACCACGGTCCTGAGCGATAGCAATTAATAAAACGAAGATTTGGTGAATATTCTTCGGATCTTCATAGGGGCGTATGGGTACCCGACAGGAGGCCCGTCGTCCGGCGAAAGACGCGGACGGGTCATAAAAACTTTACTTAATATCAAATATGGCGAACACTCACTTGATCTGATGCCTTCACAGTGAACACTATACTTCCAACCGTTGTATTTTCAGAAATCGATAATCGATCGGGTAGATCGATCAGTGACGGTAGATGATTGTTCACATCGGTGACTGCTACAGTGATTGTCGCTGTCTCTGTATGAATACTTGGCGGTGGAAGATGGAACGACGAGAACCTAAACGCATAGCTATCCTTCAGGTTCACATCCATGGTTGAGGTGGTGGTAATAATTCCTGAAATTGTAATATTTATGGCTGAGAATGTAGCTGAGCCCGGTTAGGGACCCCTTCTGTGGAGTGGATAATATATTTATCAACACTTTTTCAAGATTTCTCAAACAGAAATTACCACATTAGCAAGCACTTTACCACATTAGCAAGCACGGCAGCCTGAAGTAGAACTTAAAGGCACAACCCAGGCAGAAGTCGTGTGAACGCTTCCTTCGGTCTGTAGTATAGACCCCTAGAGGACAATCACAGATGTGGCCCCGTGCACGGAAACAACCGACAAGAGCGCTAGGGCCTTGCAAAGTAAGCTGCTGCAGCTGCATTTTTTCTTTTATCAGGCTGTTGTCTGGCGCCCTCTCATCTGTTGCGCTCTCTCGCCTCATACTCTCCTCTCCGCGCTTAGTCTCTCATTCCTTAGCACAGCCGATTAGAAGGTGAGTGAGCCCTTAACCTAAGCGTTTTCGACGGATTCTTTTCCTTTTTTTCACTGCCGGCCCATTTCGCACCAATACATTCGCATTCGTGTGCAAGAATCCACACCAATTTGATACCTAGGACATGCCTTCAAAGTCTCAAATCACCGCATATCATAGAATAACGCAATTTCTAGTTGTGCAGTGACTAAAGAACTGCCGTAATGTTTGCTTAGTGGAGGCATTCTATGTTATTCAACTGTTCCCATCTTTTGCACTGGAAAATAAGTTTATAGGGCATATGAGACGCCGTTGAAACGCCAGCGCTGGGGTAGAGGCAAGATACGCCGCTAACCAAGCTCATAGTCCAGAGCTCAAGTCCAAGTTCTGGATTGAATCCCGTGGACGGCCAATCAAACCCTCCCTCTTCCCAGGTCGGACAGTTGGTATCAGACTTATCGGGAAGGAAAACACTGATACCGACAGGCCCATGCTCTGGTCATCGAATACCCCAGTTCTAATTCAAATGCCATCCCGATTTTGCATTTAAGTCGAATGCTTAGCATATCCCCAGAACGGATTATTATGGGCAGACTTTACGATCAGAAGCAGCCCATTATAGTCAAGTTAGTGGTGGTCAGTGGTGCCGGATGAAGAAAAACCATGAGAAACGGCCCAGAACCCGAGAAATGGGACCCTTCCTTGCCCGTTGATTTCCGCATTGATGCGACTCTCATCGATGCTGCCCTCTTCAACGCTAACGCTCTCTCTCTCTGCTAACGGCTAGAGGGTCAAACGGCGAGAGGGGGCGTGACGCGGCGCAAGCGACGCGGGGTGTGGCCATGCATGGTCGAAGGGGCATATCTTTCGCTGCGAATCTTGAATCTCGTGAAGAACTCACCACTTTTTCGATCCACTTCGAACGGAGCATCACCATTCAGGGTGAACTCGCATTCAGAGGAATTGGTATGCACTTGTGCCAC